AGTTTGAGGCCAGTCTGGTCTACTGGGCAAGTTCCAGAACAGCCAGGGCTGTTACAAAGAGAAAATCTGTATCAAAAGAAAACAAACAACAAAAAAAAGCCAGGTGTGGCAGTGTCTGGAAACTGAGTGCATGGGGAGAGGGCTAGGGACAAGAGGATCACTGGAACTCCCTGGCCAACTGATGAGGCTCTAGCTCAAAAAAATTAGGTTGGGAGTTGTAGGCATAGATGATAACATCTGGCCTCCATATGTGTACACCACGCACCTGCATGTATTACACACACACATATACATGCACCCACATACAAAGAGCTTTTGATTTGTTGTATTATAAATACCATAAAGATTTACAAAAGCAAGTTATAATCTGTTAAATTTCCAGAGAATCTTCATATTGGAATTTTTAGTTGCTTAAGATTTTATGTAATTAAATAAGCCTACATGAATGGCTTTATATCTTGTTTAGTAAAGTCTTACATTTTAAAAAAGTAAAAAAAATTATATACATGGTCACATGTACCACTCATGGTGAGGGGAGGCCAGAGGGTAACTTTTAGATGTTGGTTCTTTCCTTCCAACATGTGAGCCCCTGTCTCAAAAAAAACAAAAACAACAATAGCAAAAATAATTTATCTTCTTAAGGATTCCACTATAGACTGAAGGTCAGCACCTCTCTGGGACTCCTCCAGGGTTCCAGTGCCAGATTTGAACTACTGAGATACCCACCCTCATGGACTGAACAATCATTGAGTTCTCAGTCCATTGTGAGACAGTCATTGGACTATTCTGACCACAATTTTTAAGCCAGACTAACAAACTTCCTTTAATATATTCATTAATTCCAACAGTTCTGTGCTTTAGAGAACCTTGATACAATGTGTATGTGTAGGTTTTCTCTTTGAGACAGTTTCTCTGTGTAGCCCTAGCTGTCCTGGAACTCACTCTGTAGACCAGGCTGGCCTTGAACTCAGAGATCCACCTGCCTCTGTCTCCTGAGTGCTGGGATTAAAGGTGTGGGCCCATCACCACTGCCAGGCACAGTGTTTGTTCTTACAAGAGTTTATGTTCACAACACATGGTCTGTGTGTAGAGCCTGTGGAAGACAGAATAGGGCACTTTATTCCATGCAACTGAAATTATAGCAAGTTGTGAGTTGCTATGTGGGTGTTAGGAACTGAACCTGGCACCTTTGCAAGACCAATAAGCACTTTTAACCACTGAGTCACCTCTCCAGATAAGGTACACAAGTCATGTCTTTGGGCTTCACTACTATCAAGTTGGTAATAAGATACAGTAATATTTGTGTTTTAACAGGTAAAGCTTGCCTGAAGAGCAGAGTGCAGAGCTAAGCCACTAGAAGCCAGGCGGTGGTGGCTCACACCTTAAATCCCAGTTCTGGGAAGGTGGAGACAGGAAGGGATATGGCTGGGCAGAGAGCAATGTAAGGAGGGAGGAGACAAGAGTACTGCAGTCTGAGGTTTGGTGGAGACAGATGCAGCCTGGGGATACAGTCGAGGACAGGATCACCCCTTTGGGCTGAGCACTGGTAGAGGTAAAAGGTCTCTCTAGTGGCTGACGCTCTACTCTGATCTTCAGCTAATGGGTTAATACCCCTATATCTGACTCTGGGTTTTTATTGTCTGATCCTACAGCTACCATCCCCTAATTCCTGACTCTGGGTTTTACTTATTAAGACCAATTAGAATTTGTGCCACAACTTGGTAGTTTGAATTAGAAAGGCTCCTAGGAGGCTCATCTATTTGAATACTTAGTCCTTAGTCGGTGGAGCTATATGGGAAGGATTGGGAGGTGTGGCCTTGTGCTGCAGAATATTTGTTTGCACTGTGAAGATGTGTCTCTGCTAAGGTGCCTTCCAACTGGTTTAATGAAGTGCTAAATAACCAATAGCTAGGCAGGAAAAGGTTCAGCTGAACTTCTGGGGACAGAGAGGACTCTGGGAAGAAGGGAAGAGACTCAGGAGACACGAGAGAAAGCAGGGGGAGCAAGGTATGAGAGGTAATGCCCCGTGATAGAATGTAGATGAACAGAAATGGGTTAATTTAAGTTATAAGAGCTAGTTAGGAACAAGCCTGTGCTAAAGGCCAAGCCTTCATAATTAAGAAGAAATCTCCGTGTCATTACTTGTGAGCTGGCTGCCCCCCAAAAAAGTCAGATTACAGCCTTGTTGGAAGGGGTGTGTCACTGGGTGAGCTTTGAGGTTTCAAAGCCCTTCCCATTTCTCAGGCAGTATATACTCTCTGCTTCTTGCTTGGGGATCAGATTTAAGAACTCCACTACTGTTCCAGTGATATGCCTGCTCGGCACCATGCTCCCCTCCAATCATGGACCAACCCTCTGGAACCATGAGCCCTGAATCACAAGCTTTTATAAGTGCCTTGGTCATGGTGTTTTGTTGTGGCAACAGAAAAGTAACTAAGACAGAAAGTAAACCTAGACTTTAATGGAAAGGTGAAAGCAATATACCTCTAGATTTGTTATGTACTTTGTACTTCCCAAACAATCTTCCAAACATTTATGGTTTCTGAGGACACACTGTCATCAGTGCAAGGGTTTGAGATCTTTGCCCCCTGCCTAGTTTAAGCATACAAAGTATGAGATGGAAAAGCAATTTATGCTGATACAGTTATTTTCTGTTTTAACAACCAGAATAGACTAAGTACACTATTTAATAAATATTTGGTGGGTCAATTTCAAATATATGTATCCATCCCATTCTAGGGGTAAAATACTTGCCAAGAACAACTAACCATTAACTGTTCTTGTAACAATCATAGGCTCCACCCACTTAAAGAATGCATAACTTTTTTTTTTTTTTGATAAAGCTGGGAACAGAACCAAAGGCCTCATGTACATCAGGCAAGTCCTTCACCTCCGAGCTACACTCTAGCTTCATAATTTTGATTTGGCATTTTAAAAATCACTTTGCAAAGACAGAACTCAGCTTATACAAGATTCTTTCTAATGAGTAACATGTTTTGCCTTTCTCTTCCCTAACACCAAATTCCTGAGATGAAGCATGACTTTTCAAGTTGTATTCTTAGTTTTCCTTTGAAGCTCGAGGGTGTGAATGTGTGAGTGTCTGTGTGTTAGAGGTGGGGGCTGGTTGTCTTTCTCAATTGCCCTTCACTTTATGACTATTTTTCATTTCTGTGTGGGGTCTCAGATGTTTCACTGAGCATGTGTGGAGGTAAGAGGACAACTTTTAGGACTCGATTCTCTTCTCTCACCTCGTGAGTGCAGGGGATGGAAATCAGGTTGCCCTTTGGTTTGGCAAAGCAGGCGCCTTTACCAGATAAGGCATCTTGCTGGCCTTGCTGAACACCTTTTTGAACTCTCATAGAATCACTGACAACGTTGAATGTTTTGTGATATAGTTTACTTCACGGATTATGAGGCTTTCTCTAATTAACGGGAACTGCATTAATAAATTTAGCAGCTAAAACCACTAAATAATTTAACTAAATAAATTAAGCAGTGGTTCTCAACTTTCCTAATGCTGTGACCCTTTAATACAATTCCTCATGTTGTGGTGATCCCCCAACCACAAAATTATTTTCATTGCTACTGTAATTTTGCTACTGTTGTGAATCATAATGTAAATATCTATTATGTGACCCCAATGGGGTTGTGACCCACAGGTTGAAAACCACTACTCTAGAGTGAACCAACTCAGTAATATTCTTTTCCAATCCAAAATGTACCATGCCCCCCTTTACCTAAAAAAGGGCACACATTTTAAGGCATGAGTAGTTTATTTAAAGCAGCAAATCCAACACTTATTCTCTTCAGATCAAAATTAATATATTCCACAAATACTAATACCATCATGAAATAAGTTCCTCTTAAAGATAACAATGATCCCCATTTCATTTTAACAGATTTTTATTAACTGAAAAAAAAACCCAACAACCCAGTATTCAAGTAGGGTATGGTGGCAAATGCCTGTAATCACTTGGGAGGTGAAGGCAGGTGGATCAGGGGTTCAATGTCATCTTCAGCTACATAGTGAGTTCCAGCCCAGTCTAGGCTACCTAAGACCCTGTCTCAAAAAACCAAACCAATCACTCAACTATACACCCTTTAAAACCCCAGGACTTGGGGTGTAACCAGTAAACTAAAACGGAAATGTACTAGCATTAAGAACAGCCTAGACTGAAGGCTATCCGGAGTCGCTTCTGAATCTATTAGCTGGATCTTACTAAATGATTATCAATGATGAAAATGTATTAATGTATCAGTTTTGTTACAAAGATGCAGTAGCTAAGACATAGGGAAGAAAACAAAGTCAGTCTTACTTTAAGATTATTCCATATTACACGAATACATCACCAATATATGCTTGGTTTAAACACTACGGATGTTTATTCTTAAGTGAAAACAAGTATTCTTTACAATGCTACATACCGTTCACCCTACAATTAAGGAGTAAGGTTATTGTCTCCGGGTTGGAGAGATGGCTTAGCTGCTCAGAAGAAAGCATGCCTGGTGGCTTACAACCATTTGTAACCTCAGCTCCTGGGATCCGACACCCTCTCGAAGGTTCCTTGCACGCCTTCACACACGTGCACACATGCCTTCACACACGTGCACATACACATACTCATATATACACATACAAAATCTTTTTTAAAAAGGCACACTGTTCTAAATATGAGGATGCCTCATCAGTATTTATTGTTCAGCAACAACGAACTCTTTTTTAGGCTCCAGACATTTCCCTTGTGCGTTTCTTTTGGGGTGGGGTGGGGTGGGGCAAACTCATCCGCAAAGTTGCAGAGTGGACGGGAAGTAGCGACTTTCAGCTATGTGCAAACTCGTGACGTGTGGACAGTAGGCACGGAATAAAGTGTGTACCGCGTCTCGGGTGACTCGTTCCCAGACTTTCGGGGACAGCGACAGGAGCATGCTAGCTAGCCGAACAGTTAAGTGAGCGCATTCAAGCAGGAGTGGGTAGGCGGCCTGCTGCACCGAGCACTTACCAGGCCAGGCCCAAGCACGTCGCCAGCGACAGCAGGCTGAGCCCGGTGCGGGGGTCCGCCCAGCCCGCGCCTCCCCTCGCCTCGGGGTTCTTTCTGCCATCACTCCGCTTCTCGGGCTCGCCGGCAGCCCCCTTGGGTGCCGGCTTCTTCCGGTTCTTCACCTCGGACATGTCTGGAACCCTGAAGACCTCCAAGCCCGGATGGCCTCACCGGGGGTACCGTGGGACGTGGCTGCAACTCGGCTTCAGGAGCCACGCCCCTTCCCAGACTTGGCTCCGCCCACAGGACAACCCCGCCCCTCGGCTCGCCCCGCCTCCCGCCTCCGGGTTCCGCTACCTTAGGGGAAATTCAGACTCGCGGGCGCGCGCCGGCTGCGGGGACGCGACGAGAGGGGCGGGGCCGAGCGTGCTACGTCCGGGTTGGGCGCGCCCCCGCGTCTTAGCCCCGCCCATCCGCGCACGCG